AGAGAGAGAGAGAGAGAGAGAGAGAGAGAGAGAGAGAATTTTTTTAATATTTATTTTTTAGTTTTCGGCGGACACAACATCTTTGTTTGTATATGGTGCTGAGGATTGAACCCGGGCCGCACACATGCCAGGCGAGCGCGCTATCACTTGAGCCACATCCCCAGCCCCAAGTTGCATTTCTTAACAATGTTTTTATTGGATATTGATGGACCTTTATTTATTTGTTTGTTCATATGTGGTGCTGAGAATTGAACCCAGTGCCTCACACATGCTGGGCAAGCCCTCTACCACTGAGCCACAACCCCAGCCCCAGACTTGCTCTTTTAGAAAAACTCACAATCACCTCAGAGGAATTAATCCACTCCTGTGAGAGCTAATCCACTCTGAAAGACTAGCATTAATCCCTTCACAGGGCAGTCCTGAGCAGATCACTAGGTCCTACTTCTGAAAAGTACGACCAGTCTGGGGACCAGTCATCCATGGTAAGGATCTTTGAGGGGCAAACCACGTCCAAACATACCATTCTGCCCCTGTTGCCCAAGGTTCTCGTCCTTCTTTCAATGCACAATGCAGTCATTCCATGCCTATAGTCCTCAGAGGCTGAAGTCTTGCCAGCATGGCTCCAAAGTGCAAAGTCCCAAGTCCCATCAGAAACTCAAGGCAAATGACTTCCAACAAGTTACATGGTTTCAGAATACAGCCTTGAAACAGGCACAGGGCAGACAGTTCTGTGGCAAAAAGGAGGAATAGCAAGTAGAAAGGGCTCCCAGACCACCAGCAAGTCTGAAAACAACCAAACAAGACACTAGATCCCCAAACTCCAAGCTCAGCCTCCTAGACATAGGGCAGTGGACTGGTCCCCAGGGCCTTGGGCAGCCCCTCCCCTGGGGTGATGCTGCTTGCAGCCCACATGGCTGCTCTCCTGGGCTGCATGCCATGACCTGTGGCTTTCCTAGGCTGGCTTTGCACACTGCCAATGGTTCTACACTTGTGGGGTCTCAAGAGCAGTGTTCCCACTCTCATGGCCTCACTAGGCATTCTGGTGAAGAATCTTTGACTGACTCCACTCCAGCAGCAGAAGAATTTTGCAGTGACTGAACTCCAACAGCAGGGCCTCCAGAACTTTCCTGGAAGGAGGAAGGGAAGGGCTACATGCAGGTGGGGTCTGTGTTTTCCTCTCTTGCCGACACTGGAGCCAGGTTTGACCCTCTCATTCACATAGCTCTTCGTCCACTCTTCATTTGTCCATTCAGCCAAGGCTAATGAAGAACTGACCTCATGATGGTCATTGCCCAGGCTTCCATGGATCCTTTCTCATTAGACACACTCAGTAAATCCCCCCAGGAAGCTGTGGATGGGTGAACCCAGTGGATGCCCTCTGTCCTCCATTGGGCCTGAGTATATTCCTCCCTTTCTCACCTCGCCTCCCAGTACTTTCTGTCTTCTCTCCTCCAAGCACCTAGACACTCTTCAAAGGAGGGCTATGCTGTGAGAATGTTGCCCACACCTGAGTGTCAAAATCCCACATCTACTGCTCAGCAAGTCACATGTATTCTCATCTCTGACACTGACCTCTAGACTAGACTAGAAATCTGTTTACTAAAGCCCTAGTATCTTGGTACATTCAGACTGCTGTTACAAACATCATCACACTGTGGGTAGCTTATAAACCACAGAAAATTATTCAGAGTTTGCAAGGTCATTTCCAAGTCGAGATGCCCAGCCTGGCATGGTGGCACACACCTGTAATCCCAGCAACTCAGAGTCTGAGGGAGGAGGATCACAAGTACAAAGAAAGAAACCTCTCTGAAAGGACACTTGCGAAGTCCAAGGACCACACCACACATTGGAATCCCATGCGAGGAATTTATTGTCAGTAGCATGGAGCAAACTGACAAGGCTGTCCTTCCTGGGGAGCAGCAACAAGCAACGTTAAGGGTTGCGTCATGGGCTGGGGTGGGGTTAACCTTTGAGCAGGCACATTCAGAATCGCATCCTGGGAGTCCCTAGATAAAATGGCTCCTAAATTGAAACCTGGGAGGCCCTGAGTAAAACGGCTCCTAAATCAAAACTTCGGAGTCCCTAAATAAAAATGACCCTCAGCCTAAAATGGCAGATCTGATGCCAATATTGATCTCATGCCAATAATCTTCCCTTTTTGTTTTTATAGATACAGGGTTGCAGAGGGTGATGGTCTTTCTTCTGTAGCTTCTACCTGCTGGTTAGGGACAAAGAATCTCATTCCTATGAAGTGGGTCAGGAAGGGTTTTAGGTGGGGCAGAGTCTCTGGAGTTGGAACAATTGACCTCGAGTCATAGGTCTCTTTCTTGGGAGTCAGGGGCTGGTATTCTTGAAGGAGAAGATGTTGATTGACCAACTGTTGGTGAATTTGTGTATCTGATCTTGCAGGAACTTCTGCAAGCAATTTAACAGACATGGTCCTAGTAGGAGGAACAGAAAGAGGGTTAATAGGGGTCCTGCGAGGGGGAGAAGACAAGGCCACACTTGACTGCACATTCACCAAGGCCACTGTTGGCCTGCTTGCTCTTTCTTCTTTTCTAGCTGCTCTTGTAGTTGTTTTTCTCTTGTTCTTCCTACCCCTGACAGGTGGACATAGAACAGCACTCCTCCTGTAGGTATGGGCAGAGGCCTCGTTTCTCTGTTGTTAATAGGTCCCAGTCTACAGCAGTTTTGTAGGACCACAGAGGCTAAGGAGTCGAGTTGATTTTGGAGAGTTAGTATAGACTCCGCTACCTGCTGGTTATCCCCTATCAGCTGATTGGAGAGCTGATGAAAGTGGGAGATGGATGTGGTTATTCCTGCCCTTCCTGTGGCTAGGCCTGCCATAACCCTAGATTGGCTTGTAGAGAAACAAATTGAATAGCCCATTTGCCCAAGGCGTCATATGAGCACAGACTTACCAAGGAGCTGTTTAGGCCTAGAAGACCTGCTATTAAATGAGAGAAGCCAATAATCTCTTCCCAGGAGGTCTGAGGGCTGAGAACTTGTCTCCATAACAGGGGTGGAGAGGACAAGGACTTTATTCGAGAATATAAATCTTCAACAGAGCCAGAATTATCAGGAATACAAACACAATATTTAACTATTAATGTCACAGATGTCCATCCTCTCAAGATATAGTTAAGCTATTTAATGTCATCTGATTTTGTAAAATATCTATATTTGTTACTTAGGGCTGGATAATCATATAGCAAAGAAGATGGGAGAGGAGGGGAGGGGGGATAGTAGGGGATAGGAAAGGTAGAAGAATATAACAATTACAGTTGGGCATTATGTAAAATTGTGGATGTGTAACCGACGTGATTCTGCAATCTGCATTTGGGGTAAAATTGGGAGTTCATAACCCACTTCAATCTAATGTATGAAATATGATATCTCAAGAGCTTTGTAATGTTGTGAACAACCAATAAAAGAAAAATCATATAGCAAACATCAAGCCTGCATGTGTAGGTTCAGAATATGTGTAGGTTTTTAAACTAACTAAAAACTTTTGGGTTTGGCAGTTTCTCTTGATCTTTATCAGGCATTCTTGCCTAAGAATCTCTCTTTTGCAGCCTCCAGTCTTACATATTCTTGGGGGCTAACACAAGTCGTACATCCTAAGTTATATCTAATTATTATTTTTTCCTTTTTTTTTAATGCCCAGGAATGGCTCTGTTTTGGTTCAACTGGTTTTGCTAGGTGTTTAAGGTCAAGCTGGTCAAAATTGACTTTGTTTCTATCTATTGTAAAGAGTCAGCTGAGTTCCCACAGGGGACTGAGCAGGTCTGAGCTCTGCTACTACTCTTTGCACTAGGATGGGTCCAGGCCTTGCTGACCATGTGGCTTTCCTTGGAAACCTCAGGGACATCTCCCTTCTCCAATGACCCACCTCTTCATAGAGAGTGCATTGATTGGCTTTTCATTCTCCAGTGGTCTCATTAATCTCCCTGATCAGGAGGTTGTGTGGCCCAGAGTTGCAAAGCTCTTTGGAGAAGTTTCCTGATCCTAAATTCAGACTGACTCAGAGGGCAAGAGCCAATATTGGTTTCCTTGGCCCTGTTAATTTAACATTAATTTTTAAGTTTTGATCTTAATCATCCAGCAAGTCAGTCTCACCAGTCTTAAATTAAGAGTACTGGTTTTTAACTTTAATGTCTATAACCTTACAGTCACTTACCCATTTTAATAAACTAGGGTTAGTATTATCCTATCTGTCCTATAGGTGATGATTTATTATCTTAAATTAACCCAGGTTGTGTGTTCTTGAAGTAACACCTCTGCAAAACATTAACAGACAACATTTATACAGTTTATAAGAAAAATACAAAATAAAGTTAACAAAGTTTGGCCTACTTTGGAGTTATTCTGATACACTGTAAGGTGGGAGGCAGAGCCTTATCTCAGGTAAGGCGGGGTTCCTCATAAATCTTGGGTGAAGTGTTCTAGCTCTGAAGCTGATTTTTGCCTCTTTCTTAAATACCGTTTGACAAAGCTTACATATATTGTCTTTTTAAAAAGTTCATATGAATGTTAGCTAACACAATATGTTATTACAAATAAAACACAAATTAAAGAAAGGCTGAGAGTTTTTAACATTTTTGGGGAAAAGTAGCAAAATGCTTTTGAGTTTCACAATATTAACTTTTGAATAGATTAGGCTCTCATTAACTCAAAAATACATTTAAATTGTATCCCAGTGTAAAAAGTAACATAAAGCTTTATATATCTTATTGATAACAGCTCCAGTTGTAGAACATTAAATGATATAAATAAGTCCCCAATAAAATTTGTTATTCTTATGAATCTAAAATTACCATACAACTTTAGTTTGGAGAACACCAGCTTGACATAATGTTCTTTTAAACCTTCTCCCTTAAAGATTTGTTTACCTGGAAGATAAGAACATATTTAATATACAAAGAAGAGGAATATCACCATAATTACATTGATGTTTTTATATTAATCAAATTTAGCTTTTAATGAAAACTTAGACTTTGTAACAGTTCTTGTTTAACAGTTGTATTTACCTAAATTCTTTCAAGTTATTTGTTCTAAAAAGTAAAACTTATAAACACAGCGTTATGGGTAAATTAATGTTTTAAAAAAATCCTTGTCATTTTAACATGTAGATTAAACTTTGGTTTATATCAGTACATTAATATTTGACCTTAGGAAAAAACCTTCAATAGCTTTGACTGATTCTTTCATATATATATATATATATATATATATGCAACTTATAGAGATCTCTTTATCACTTAGTTAAACCCTCTTATTTACTTCATCACATAAAGACTTTCTTATCCAGAAACATTTTCTTTTCCTTCTATTAAATATGGTTCCACACCTAAAACCTTCTAATTTCTCTTTCCCATCTTTAAACAAATCCTTTTATATTCACTTTTAAAAATAATCCTTGTAAAATTCTGAATTTAGACAAATTATTCCATTTTAATGAGAATAAATTCTTTGTTATTTAAAGTACTCTAATTGAAACACAGTTAAAACTTTCAGACCTCTTTGAATAGAGAATCTCATTTGTTTACCATTTCATGAAAATACAATATTCAAGTATATAGAATTATACCTGTTGGGATAATTTAAATCTTCAGTAACCTTGTTTTCATTGCTAGGAGACAGTTGGATAAGATCATGGAAAGTTAGATCCTCTGACTGGGTTAGGTATTGGTATTCTTTACTGTACCCTGTGGGACTGGAGGGGAAAGACCCTAGCCTCCTTTCCATTGGGGAGGGGTCACTAAGGGAGAAAGGGACATGTACCTGGACAACTCCCTCTGACCCTGCTACTTCACAAAGGGAAGCAAAGGTGCAGGCTGGGTAGAGGGGACCGAGCAAGAAGGAGTAGCAGGTGGACACAAAGTAGGTGAGGGAGGTCCCAGAGGGGTCAGAGCAGAATGGTAGGGAGGGGGTTTGTTATTAGGGTCAAAGTCTGGGGTTAAGCAGGGTCCTGAGGTTGAGAAGAGAGAATTTAAGAGCCAGCAGAACCTGGGCCAGAGAACAGGAAGAGCAGAGGGACAGTTTGGAAAGAAGGAAAGATAGGACTGAGCATGGGGGATATCTTTGCATTTCCCAGAGCGCTCCCCAAATTTAAAAAGTTTCATCAAAAATGTTGGGCTCTAGAGTGCCGTTAAGTGGCCATTTGGAATCATTGTCTAAGGTATAGAGGGGCCAAATTTAGTTCCAGAGACAAATTAGTTTCTGTTCCTTTAAGTCAGGGGTAAGGTGGAGGGAGTCTGAATTTGCTAAAAGGCAACCCAAGGGTGTCCAGGGGATGGCAGAGGTGGCTGCACCCATGGCAAGAGGGAGAGAGAGAGTTCCTAGGGAGGAGCAGAGGCATCCCTCTGTGTCTTCCCATATTGAATGAGGAAGAGCTGACCTCAGGGTGGCAGCTGGGGCTAAGGCCCATAGGGGCTCTCAGTGCCTGGCACCAGGGCTTTGAGCCCAAAGAGTAACCAAGACCCAGAGAGAGATCTTTTGCTAGGGGTGAGACCTTCTGAGCCTATGGACCCAGTTGATGGTAGGAACCAACCACAGCTCTGGAAGCCATAGTTGGGGGTGTCCCAGACCAAAGGGAAGCCTAGGAGCACCGGGTGTTCCATGGTCACTTCTCTGGACCCGCAGTTCCTTTGAATTGACTAAAGGCAGGGGAACTTACCGGAATCAGCTGGCGGTGGATGAGAAATCGAGCGCTCAGTGAAATGGAATGTGTGTGGTGAGGGTGTCCTAGGACCCAGAATAGGATCCCAAAGCAGCTCAGGTCCCCAAAGGGAGAGGAAGATCCGTGGGAGAGCAATCCATGTCATGGCACCAATGAAAGGACACTCATGAGGTTCACGCAAAGTCCAAGGACCACACCACACACCAGAATCCCACGCAAGAGATTTGTTGTCAGTAGCATGGAGTGAACTGACAAGGCTGTCCTTCCTGGGACAGCAGCAACAAGCAAGGGCTGGGGTGAGGAGAACCTTTTAGTAGGCACATTCAGAATCAAAGCCTGGGAGTCCCTGAATAAAATGGTTCCCAAACTAAAATGGCGGATATGATGCCAATATTGATCTCGTGCCAATACTGGCTCAAAATTAAGAATGAATAGAACTAGAGATGTAATTCAGTAGTAAAGTTCTCCTGGGTTCAAACCTCAGTCCTGAAAAAAGACAGAAAGAAAAAAAGTAAGTTGCTTCCAGATTGGGAGTCTGTGGAGAGCTTGCTTTTGGCTTTTTCACTCATGGATGGCACCTTCTCACTGAGTCATTACATGATATAAGGGACAAACAATGCCTCCCATGACCATGTTGAAGCCAGAATTAAAGACAGGCAGTCAATGTAGACAGGTAATAGGGTCAATGAAGAAAATGGCGTCCAGTTGGAGTCCAGAAAATTGGAGATTACTCCTGGGAGACTGGAATGGTAATGCCTCCTGAGCACTTGGACTACCAGGATTCCCTACCTATACTGCCCCTCCTAGAAGGTGGTTCATGAAGCACCCCCTGAACAGACAGGGAGCTGCTAATTAAGGTCCCCTGGGCTGCAGCTTCGTTCCTGCCCCAACACTCCACCTTGTCCCTTGCAGCCCACCTGTTTCTCCCCTTTTGGCCATTCCACAGTATCTCCTGGGCCTCGTCAGGAAGGAAGAGATAAGGGGGAAGAGAGCAGGAAAACAGAGAAAGTCTAAAATGTCTAAAAGGTGCAGGATGCTCTCACGTCTTGGGATACCAGGATACCAGGATGACCCCTTCTTTCTCCCAGGAGAAGTCTGTATTACTAATTTTTGAATAAAACCTCCTTCATTGGCTTGCCTTGGCACTTCTCTAATGTTCAGACTTAAACATTGGAGGAAGAAGAACTCATCACAATAACTAGTGGTTTCCTATTCATCCTAATTCTTTTTCTTTTGGTACCTGGGATTGAACTCAGGGGGACTCAACCACTGAGCCACACCCCCAATCCTATTTTGTATTTTATTTATTTATTTTTATTTTGAGACCGAGTCTCACTGAGTTGCTTAGCACCTCAACATTGCTGCCTTTGTATTCCCCATCCTCCTGTCTGAGTCTCCAGAGCCACTGGGATTTCAATTATGCCCCACCACGCCCAGCTATGAACCTAACTTCTAAAACCATCGTATTGGAGATTAGGTTTCAATGTGTGAATTGGGTGGACACAAGTTTTGAGACCCTAGCACAATGGTCCTACAACCCAAGATTCAGAAACCAAATTTGCAAACTACTGTAAAATGTCTGTCTATTTAAAACAACCACTTTCCCATCTATTTCCATTCCCACCCTTGTGGGAAGCAGGACTGGGTTTTCCCATTGATTCTAAAGCCTGGGCCAGCTGAGTATGTCCAGGAGAGCCAGGTGGGGTCCTCAGGGTCCTGTCTCCTGAAGTTGGCTCTTATTCTCTGTAAATCTGCAGACACTATGAGCCCCACACTGACATGACAATAACACTGAGTCATATAGCAAGAAGATGCTTCTCTGTGTGGTGTGTCCTGGAAGAGGCCTTGGAGGCTCAGGAGGTCCAGAGAAGAGATCCTTGTTCCTGGTTCCCTGAGAACCTCTCCCTCCAGTAAGGTGTCCTTCTAGCTTGCTGAATTCCCCCTGCAGCCTCCTGACCATCCCCCACTCACTATGGCATCCACATCATTGATTTTCCTTCTCCCCTCATTGCTCTCCCTAAGCTTCTCTGGCCCCTCCTATAAAAACCATCTCATCTTTTCTCATTGTACAAAGGTAGCAAATAATGCTCAATGTACCTCTGAGTTCTCTCAATCTTTTTCTCTCAGACATTCAGAAGCTGGATTTCTCATCCCAAAGAACGTGGGAGTCCCCCATTCCCCAACCTCTGACTGACATGCTCTCCTGGGGCACCAATTTTCACAAAGGAGATGGCCCCCCTTGTTTCCATTCACTACATTGAAGCCCAAACCAAGACCTTCATGAATTTCATGCAAAAATGAAAATTCCATTTTGTTATCTGGGCCGCCAGGGCACAGACAAGGTTAACATTAAGCCTGGAGGGATCCAGCACAGGAAAGACTTTCCTTTTGGTGAAGACTGATGGGTGCATCCGTATAGCATTTACTCACTTCTTGTGAACATGCCTCTATGTTTCAGTTCTGCAAAAGCACACTTCATTATACAAAGGGGTTTCCATGATATTTTGTAGATTTTTAATAGCTTTTTAAATGCTTTAGCGTGGTGTGTGTGTGTGTGTGTGTGTGTGTGTGTGTGAGTGTGTACAGTGCCAGGGACCATACCTACCTCCTTGGCCTGCTAGGCAAGCACTATACCACTGAGCTACATCCATTCACAGGCCAGTGTGGAATAACTTATATACAATTAAATTAATCTCTTGGGTGTATAATTTACTCACTCTGAGGTAATATTTAGATAAGCAAACACCACCACCACAAGTTTTACCAGTTTCTTTCACCTCCTAAACTTCCTCATGCCCCTTTGTAGTCCTTCCTTGCCCTGAATCCTGCTCTAAGGCAGTCACCTAATTGCTTAGGTTCCTCTACTTGCCTTGCCCCAAATATGATGCAAATGAACACTTCTAGGAATGGCTCTGTCACTTCACATACTATTTTTGAAATCCAGGCAGATCTCAAATTCCTTTTCCTGGGGAGTGGCATTCCTTGTAGGCACACAACACTATGTATTCATCGACCAGTTGATATACATCTGAGTGACTTCCATTTTTTGACTAATTCTAATGAAGCTCTTAGGGATATTGTCAGAAATTATTTATATGGACCCATGGTGTCATTTCTGTTGAGGAAAGACCTGAGAGGACAATTGCTGAGTCACATGGCAAGTGTGTGTGGAACTTTTAAGGGAAATAACAAACTCTTCTCCAAAAGGACTCTGTCACTTTGCATCCCTAAGCAACTGAGGGTATCATTTGCTCCATATCCTCTTCAACACTTGGTCTGATCGTCTTAGATCAAATTGTATTTAAAGGACATGTTGGGGGATCTCATTGCAGATGTTTGTTTTGAATTTTAGACTGTTTTCATCTTCCGTTTTTTTTCTCTCTCTCTCTCATCTCTCTATATGTATAAGATATAATATATACAAACACATACACAGATATGCTGCTGAGACTCTTCTTCATTTTCCATTATTTCTATTATCTTGGTCTTTGTCAAAGCCAAGGCCTCTGTAAGATGGTGCCATAAATGGCAGAGCCCATGTGGGCCTTCACCCTAGCAGACTTCAGATTAGGAAGAAGCACTATGTTGTCCAGTTGACACAAAAGTGCTTATACTAGGACTTAACTGGGTGGAGGACCAAGCCCAGCTATGAATTAGATCAGGAGACTCTGGGCAGAGTAAGCATCTGGCCAGGTAGGGGCTGGGAGATGGCTGGGAGCAGAAATTACTGCAGAGGAACTGAATCCACAGCAGCCATACTGATTGGGTGGAGGTCAAGGAGAAGCAGTGCTCTCAGCATGCTGTCTCCTGACATCTGGATGAAGCTGATTGCTCCCCAATGTGGCTGAGAAGGACACAACACTGAGCTGTAAGAGCCTATGGGGGGTGGGGAGAATCTAGCCAAGGATGGTTTGCAGGGGAACCTCTAGGCTGCCTGAAGTTGAGCCCCACACGACTTCATCAGGGAAGTCAGGTTGAGCAGTCCTCCTAACCCACACTGGCTTCCATTCACCCCTGCAGGGCTCAGAATTATTTAGAATCTCTCAGAGGCACCTAATCTCTGGGAGTTCCCTGGACAGGCAGGCACTCATTTCACATCTTTCCAGTGGATAAGTGACTGTAGAAGGGACCTTGGTCATGTGTTGATGGGGTATCTACAAAAATGCCTTCAAATTAGGGCCAGAATAAGAAGAGAGAGGCCCTCAGATGTTCTCAGATGATGGTGTATAGAAGATTAGGGACAATTGAAGGGCACCCAGTCAGCTTTGAAGGTCACAGTCACACCTCCCTGCCACTGTGCAAGTAGTTCCCCTCACTCCAGCAAGGTCACCTGTATTTGTCCTTCTCTGGAAATCTTCATTCTGCTCCCCCTCAGAGAAGCCCTCCAGGTTGCTCCAGTTACATCCAGCTCTCTGCTCCCTCCTCTCCTCCCCAACACCCTCATGGGCCTGTAACAGCAAGGACAGGGAATTAGTGACTCCAGGTTGTGAGGAGAGAGTCCTAGATCTCAGAGGGTCTGCAGAGTGTTGGAAAGTGGCCAAGGGAAGAAGAGGGGTAGGGCCCTGCCAACTGCACACTGGCTCCATGACCTCTGAGAGTTCAGAGTGACTCTCCTGCAGCACACACCTTGCAGGGCACCACCCATTTCCCCAATGCATGCCCACCTTCAGGTTCAAATTCCACCTGGCAGAATGCTGCTCTGCATTTCCAGGTGAAGCCCAGAGAATACAGAAGCAGCCCTGGGAGCTGACCATGTGCCTGCATCGACTTCCTGCCTGGCTCATCCTCGTGGCCTATGGGCTCCTGATGCTCCTCATCCAGGGCCAGGGTGAGGCTGCCATGGGGAGGGTGGTAGAAACCAGGTTGGATCAGCCAAAGTGCACAGAGACAGAGCCTGAGCCTGGAGGGAAGGCACCAGGGCGGGGGAGTTGGTAGAGGAGACAGATGAAGGGGATGAGGGGCTGGAGGGTGAGCCAGAGAGGGTCAGAGCTGCCTGGGGACACCTCCATGGAGGAGTGAGCTAATGTGAGAGGATTCTGATGGGTTTGTGACCATTTAGGTGAGAGACAAAGATGAGTAGTGTGTAAGACCTGGACCCTATTTAAGACCTAGATGGGCCTGTGGAGGAGCCAGGACTGGGTGGGCAGAAGACTGTAGGAATGGAATCCAGGGAATGGGCAAGTCAGAAGCCTCCTGGAAAAAGAACAGGGACAGGGACCTTACCCTCCTGTGTGTGGCTGTGGCTATAGCTACTACTCATCCTTGGATAATAACAACAGCAATATAAGAGCTGGCTGGTTACATTTGGCTCTGAGTGTTTTGACCCCTTGGACAGAGAAATGCTGGCACCTTCCGCAGGGTCCACAGGCAAGGTTACTGGCCTGGGGGGTAAAAAAACCCCTGGTACCACTTCTCAACGCTGATCTGAATGACTGCTGGGTTCCTTTCACTGGTCAACCTAATCTGGCATGGCTTGGATTGTTCTAGGACAAAGGCAATGTGCTCTGTACCTGCTAGAAGTCTCTAGGCCCTTATCAGAAGGTGTTGGCAGGAGAGTACCATGCCCAGGGAGTGTCAGAAGCTCTGGATCCCTCCCACCCCAAAGGCTCCTAGTGTGGGCATTGGACATAGACCCAACTTTCCTAATCTAATCTGCACAGAGGAATCCATGCTCACCTGTCCCTCTTGGATCATCGCTGACAGGCTTCCTTTCTTACCTGGCATCTTACAGAGAACCAGAACTTTCTCAAGAGGGAGATTTTTCTAGTTTCACTGAAAGATTCTATTTTCAACAGTCTTTTTTTCTTTACCTCACATAGAAAAATTTAAAAAAAACTGAGTCATGAGAGGGTATAGAACTGAGTCCCACAGTCCTCTGCCCACCTAGTCCTGGCTCCTCCACAGGCCCATCTAGGTCTTGAATAGAGTCCAGGTCTTACACACTACTCATCTTTGTCTATCACCTAAATGGTCACAAACCCGTCATTTCTGGTGTGACCTTTTCCACATCTGGACATGAGGACACTACACACTGCTACATATATACATGGGTGAGATTCCTGCTGCTGTTTCAGGCAGGGCTTGTCCTCAAGGAAGCAGCTATATAATGTCAGCACAGTGTGAGCAGAAGTATTTTGCAGGCTTTGTCCTTTGTAGTAACTAATATCAGGCATTAGTGGCAGTGGCCACATGAGTTACATGGACCAGGATCCCTCTGGCAAGGCATTGTGTGGACACAGCATGTTGGTAGGGACAGGAGTGTGCCTTTGGACTTGGAGGGATGCTGGCCAATTTCCTTCTCTGGTTCTGTGAGTGGATGCTGCCCTGGCCTATCCTGTACCAGGGAGCATCAAACATCAGATCCTAGCTCATCTCATGGGAGAGAGGAGGAAGTTTGAAGTTCTTAACGTTTTCTTATGGAAACCAGCTCAGATCTGCCAAACTCTAGAGTGAGAACTGGAGCCTGGGGGAGGGAAGGCTCCAGTGATGTGGGAGCTGTGGCGATGTCAATAATAGCAGGAGGACTGTGGACCTGACTGCCTAACTCTCTGCACCCTGAAGCATAGAGAGAGGACTGGGGCATCCTGAGGGCTGCACAGCACCCAAATGCAGACCTATTCTGGGACACAGAGAGGAGTTAAACCCCATATGCCCACCATCAACTTTTAACAAATATCATGACTTGGACAAACGAGATATATCTAGCTTGACTTTTCATTGCCTCCTTGCCCAGATCCCCAACCCCAGGAATGACAAGAGTTTTATAGCCTGAACTCATAGCTCTCCTCCCACCCTTCCTATCTCCTTACACAAATGATGCTTCTTTATGTTATTTCTTGTCCCATCAAGTATGAGATCCTTAAGGATAGAAATCTTTAGTTCCATTCCCACAGTCCTCCCAGTGGGTGACATGACCTGGCACAGTTAGTGCAATGGACATTCTTTCCCCATCAGCCCAAAAGACATTCTGCTAGAAGTTGCTAGGGCTAAAGGATGGTGGCAAGTCACAGGGGCCTGGTGAGCCTGGAGGGATAGGCCGTGACCTTGTCGAGTGATAGTTGTGGTGAGGATAGGAATTATGGATGGGCAGAAAGATTCTGAAGTGAATGTTGACAGATCAGGTTCCCTCTATAAGGCGGAGCTGACGAGGGCCAACCAGGCCAAGGTGCTGCAGGCCAGCAGCTGAGTGGGCAGACCTTAGCCTGAAGTGCATCTCTCTGCCCACAGGCCAGGACTCAGTCAGCCCTATTCGAACCACCCACACGGGGCAGGTGCGGGGCAGCCTTGTCCATGTGAAGGAAACCGATGTGGGGGTCCACACCTTCCTGGGAATTCCCTTTGCCAAGCCACCTGTAGGACCACTGCGCTTTTCAGCCCCTGAGCCCCCTGAACCTTGGAGTGGTGTGAGGGATGGGACCTCCCACCCAGCCATGTAAGTTCTCCTGGGGTCTGGGAAACCACAGGACTGGGTTGAGGGTGGGTACTCGGAGTCCTGGGCCAGGCTACTGTGGCTTCTTTATCTA